CAACCAGAATGCTCCTTAGAAGCCAGGATGTCTCTCATACTTTGGACATAGTATCAGGAGGGACCAGTCCCTGGAGAAGGACATCATGTTTGGTAAAGTGGAAGATCAGGGAAAAAATACATCCCCAACAGAGTGGATTGGCACAGTGGCAACAGCAATGGACTCAAGCTTAACAATGATTGTGAGGAAAATGCAGGACTGGGTAGTGTTTCAGTCTGTTGTGTATAATGTCACTGGGAGTTGGAACTGACTCAATAGCACCTAATGACAACAACAAAGCCTATTCCAACCTACCAGTCACTCCTTGAAACCCTGTATGGAGTCTCGAAGAGTCGGAACTGACTCGACTGCACTTAACAAGAAAGCCTATTCAGGGAGTTTGGTGACTCCATAAGATAAGCACTGGACTGTGAACTACAAAGGTCCGTATTTTCAGCCCACCAGCCACTCCTCAGAAGAAGATGAGGCTTACTGTTCCCACAAAGATTTAAAGCCTTGGCAACCTGTACAGGGTCGCTGTGAGTCAGAACTGACTCTACTGCACTTAACAACAACAACAAAGCCTACCAGGGACACCATCTGTTGGAATCGATTTGATGACAGTGAATGAGTGGATTAGGATTTCCAAGTAGAGGTTTCCAACATGGGTGATTGGGAGCTCTTGAGTGATAGTTTACAGGGGAGACCATTGGTTTTACACTCATCATTTGTTTCATTGCAACAATTACAATCTCCTCCGTGCATCATCATTCAACAGTATTTGCTTCTATTCCCTCTTTTTTGTTGTTGTTGTTATTGTTTTGTTTTGTTTTTGGGATATACACAAAAACACTCAGGAATATATATCCATTTAATCAATCAAAGGGCACAGTCTGCAAGCCTGCCTCCTGGCTGCCAGCACAAAGACTTTCTCTTTCCATGAGTCTAGAGTTCACAGCTGCTCTATTTCTCCATATCCTCATCTCTGCCTCCATCTCTGGTGTCGCTGCTTCTCTGGATGTTGTTGTTGTTGTTGTTAAGTGCCTTTGAGTCAGTTCCGACCCATAGAAACCCTGCATAGGGTTTCCAAGGAGTGGCTGGTGAGCCTGAACTGCCGACCTTGGGGTTCAAACAGACTTTGCAGTCCAGTGCATTAACCCATACGCCACACCAAGACTCCACTTCACTGGATAGAGTCCCACATTCTGCTTGTGGTCTTATCCCTTGATGGTCCTAGGGTCCCTCTCTTTCTGGACTGTAAGACTAACTACTCCCCACTTTTCATTACAAAACTTCTACCTTTACAGTTATGACAGTTGCAATTAGTCATGATAACAATTATTATTGAATCATAAGAACCTTATCCCCATCTCTTTTCACCAAACCCATCTAGACAAGATGAAAACTACTCAGTGGGGAGTCTACCTTCCCCCACCCACCACCCACCCCCACACTCTGAAACTAAACTCCCTCTTGAAAACTTGTAAGCCAGTCACTTTGTACCTTTATAATCACCCTCCCCCCAATTTTAGGTAGCCAATGTTTAAGTTGCCTGTCCCTATCAACCCTGTATACAAAGGGGATAGGATTGATACTTAACGTGAGCTACTACATCCATAAGTATAGGTCAAGTTCATCAAATTGTAGCAATTTACACTTGTTTCCTTTATAAAACGATTTTTTTTTAATCTTCCTCTAGTCGAGTTCTGATCATCGAGCCATTGGAACTAGGTTGACTTGGTAACCTCTATAAGTTTGGGTATTTTTGTGTGTCTTTGAGAGGTTGAATCTTAAGCTGTGGATCTGGTAGCTGTCTAGATTCTAGGGTTGCTAAGGGACAGGTTTGGGGCAAAATGAAGACTTCTCCCAAAATTTCTTGTAATTTCTCCATTTGTTCAGCTTAGCTCAAACAACCTCAAGTAGCAGGTGGTTACTTGCAAGTGGCACAATTAACACTAGTCTGCTAATTGAAAGATTGTCAGTGGGGTGAGTCTACCCAGAGGCTCCCCAGAAGAAAGACAGTCAACTTCCAAACAATCAGGTACTGAAAAACCTATGAAATACAGTTTTATCCTGATGCATGTGGGTTCACCAGGAACCAGAATCAATTGCACAGTAACTTGT